ACAAAAGAAGACGCTTTTCAGATAAGAATTATACGCCAAAGTGATCATTGTTCTGTTCTACTCTAGCTTACCCGAGCACTTTTGTAGGCGACATGTTCGCGTTTCAATAGCTTCTCCCAGTCCCTTGCAGTCTGCTCCACCATTTGCCGGCGGGGGATTGGTGCAAATGCGGGAACGCTGCTGACTTCCGTCTCCGCATGACTTGCTACATCTTGACCAGAAGGACCATGGAGAGTAACCACCATCAATCGGGGCTCCTTATTAAAAATAAAAAATCTTATTGTAAAATAAAATTTCAAGGCTAACGTGATCTGTCTAGTGAGTCCGTAACAACTTTTGACCACTGTTATGATGAAAGTCGTTGTCGATAAGGGTACAGACCAAACTTAACAACTGTCGATTTCTTTTTACCACAATATCGACGACAAATAAAACGATTCTTTTAGTGCGTGACCATTGCGTGACACGTTGACGCGAGCAGCGTTGGCTGTACTCCCATTAACAAAGGCGAATTGGCCGATCAGACTGCGACATTACTGCCAATTGTGGTAAAAAATAAACTCACAAACAAAGAAGCAAAAAAAAAAAAAAAATCGGCACTTCTATGCTAATTGTTTAGGTTTTGTTGTCGTAGGAGTCTGAAATGCATTACTGTTTGAAAATCATCTCTTACAAGTGTAGCTTTTTAGCTATGATGATTATGGAGCTAATGTGTATGAGTTTGTGTACCCTCAAGTTTGATCCGCTTGGTAAAGGAGACGACAGGCAATATCCTCTTACACAGATTATCGAATGCTTACTACAATATTAAAACGATAAATAAATAAATTCATCAAAAAAACACCTGAGCATTGCTGTGTACTACAATTTCGTGTCTGTGTGCTCGGTCCCAATCTCCAACAGTCTCTCCCGCCATATGCAGGTGTCGGGTTGGAACAATAGCGAATTTGGCGCTGGGTCCCTCCGTTACACGTCTTACTACAGGTACTCCAACCACTCCAATTTGTGTAACCACCATCGACTACGATGACACACATACAAAAATAAGATTGAATTTTATTTTCCAGAAATGATAATACGTCAGAGAAAGAGAAAAATTATGTCCCGCTATTTTCTCTTGGTCAAAGTAATAATTTCCCCGGCTTACGCGAAATCGTTCCATTACTACTGATTTCGATCGATTTCGTATTTGGAATTGTGGAGGAAATAAATATGAAGAAAGCAGAAAAAATCTAGGAATTGAAGACAAGAACGAAGATAAATCGCGTGCCTGACCTAAAAGTATTAAATTCGTATGGATCTCATTGACGTGTTTCTACTCGGTGCCCACGGCCATACATTTCCACTTAGAGTGATACATTTAAGTGTTTCCGACTCGTTTAAATCTTTTAAAACACCTTACCTGGACAACTATTCAAGTAACAACTTCGTGTTTTTATGGCTGGTCCTTTGCAATCTTTTCCCTTGTTTGCTGGTTTGGGATTGCTACATGAACGAGTGCTAAACTGCATCCCTACGCCGCATGACTCACTACAAGACCCCCAGTTACTCCATGGTGTGTAACCCCCATGAACTGGAATATCTGAGAAATAACAGAATGACTAAACAATGAACATTTCCTGTGATCTATTATTCATCCTATCAAAGAACAGGAATATACAATATTCGTTTTCAAACACGCACTTGATGAGCTTTATAGGAGCAAGATCTAACATATGTTGAAAGCTTTATTTAACACTCAGAAGATACTTCTTTTTTTCTTACTTGGATTTTTTTTATTACAACTTACCGCTATGGGGACAAGCCCAACTCTCTCAAGGAAAATGTTGGTTACCAACTTACAAAGGCGACAGACAACAAGCTATCAATATTTGATCAACGTCACTTTCTTTCATTTCACCTGCAAATCATGTTGAACAATATTTCCATTCCTTTTTTAACACTTCTAACTCGATACAAAAAGTCTTCTCAGCAAATATGGAGTACATTTTTCCTTTTGTTAAGTTACTGATCACGAACGAGCTAAAATTTGGCAGGAACGTGAAATTTCCAATGGATTATATGATAGCTGATAATTTTATTGGTATGATTAGCACTTGACGATATTTGACTGACCTTTTTTTCGTGCATTGATGTATACATTCCTTATTGCCTTTCTCCGTCTATCAACATGAGGGTTGCTTGAAAGAGGATCCTCTTTGGTTCCATACAAAATTAATTTTAATGAAAACAGGCGACCTATATTATTGTGAACAATAAAACGATGAGTGTACTTGGGCTTTGTAATGAAACAGATGCCGAGCATGTTTTAATTAAAAACATCGAAAAGGCGATTTCCCATACCTATTAACTAATATTACCTCTCCTGAGCAATTACATCTTGATTAGGTTTCATTTCTGTACAGGAAGCAGAAAATAGATTGCTTTTCTAAAATCACTACTAATCTCTTTAAGGCTATAATAAATGTGTCATTTTTCTACCAAGATTTTGGAATCGGTACAAGACCGTATGAACAAATCTGTGTTCGCTAAAGGAGGATACAACCTGACTCTTGACAAAAAAGAACTATAAGCGATACCACCTGAAGCGGGTTATCGAATACTCGCTAAAGTAATCAAAAAATTCAAAACAGAATCACCTGGGCATTGCTGTGGATTGCAACTTCGTGTTTGTATGCTCGGTCCCAGTCTCCAGCAGTCTTTCCCGCCATATGCAGGCGTCGGGTTGGAACATGAACGAATTTTGCGCTGAGTCCCTCCGTTACATGTCTTGCTACAGCTGCCCCAGCTACTCCACTCTGTATAGCCACCATCAACTACGGAAATAAGAGTGAAATGCTATGTGTAACGAACGCAGCGGTAGATTGTCAGCATTTGTTTGCTTGACCAGTGGTTTCTTAAATATATTAAGAAATAACCTGAATCTGTCAGTAATATACAATGATAACAAACACAGTAAATGAAAACTGAACGGAGAAAGGACAGCAAGAACGTAAGTAAATAAACTGATATATTTAAATAAGCTAATGCCGCGCGGAGACTGGAACTATAGTTATAATTGAAACCATTGAAAGACGTTGCAAAAATAGGAGAAAGCAATTTCATTATCCAGAAATGATAATACGTCACAACTATCATTTTTCTGTTTCACATAACTTACCTGGACACCTACGTTCACTACAGCTTTGCTTTTCTGTAGCTTTACCCAGTCTTTTGCAGTCCGCTCCACCGTTTGCCGGCGAGGGATTGTTGCACTTACGAAAACGCTGCTGACTACCTTTTCCACATGACTTGCTACACCAGGACCAGTGGGACCATGAAGAGTAACCACCATCAATCGGGGCTCCTGATAACAATGAAAAATGGTATTTTAAAAGGGAATTTAAACTGTAATTGTAAAGGACTAGTAAACAACAAAAAATTTTCTTTGTGAGGGGAAAGGTCCATTTCTCCTCTGAAAATTAGCGCCTTTTAGTGCTCGAAACATTCTCGCTCTTCTTGGAATTACTCTCTATACATGCGTGATCCTTCCAGTCCCCAATGCCGGTCCATGGAAAAAAGTTTCGATTAAAACTCATCATATTCATAAACCAGAAGAATACAACGACTCATGATAATATGGATGTTCCACCTTTTAAACATTCGGAATTCTTAGACTTTATTCGTCGAAGGTTAACTTTCATGGCTACAGCTGGCCACCGCCGGCGAACAAGCCCCATAGGTATGTTCTTGTTTAACGTGTAGAAAGAAGCTTGCAACTGAGAACAAATTCTTCTATTCTTTTCCCAGTTTCTATGCCCTTAACAAACCACCTTTAAGTCAGCAACTCGATATTTAGCCATATTTTATAATCTTCCGTAAATTCTAAAAACAGAGGGTACGATTTGATCAAATTTTTATCACCAAAGAAGGGTGGAAAAATTACCTTGGGTTGAGCAAGGTCCAGATGTACAAAACCGCACTTCTTCAGTCCGAACACATAGTGATTCTCTGGTACATAAAGAATAGCGTGTTTGCTGTCCATCACCACATGTGGCACTACACAAGGACCAGGCAGACCAAGCTGAATGATTACTAACTGAGTAAAAACACAGAATAATTACTTCCGGTAGAGACAGAGGTAGTCACTATTGGGCCTCGATAATTTCCATTAATTCTTCAAACTGGATAAAACGAGGGCTGAAGACCCACTCTTGTTTAACTCATTTACATTGTTACAATCGAAATGAATAGTAAAAATTTGTCAAACATAGGGTGCATTCCAATTAAGTGACTCAAATTGAAAAAACCAATGTACTAGCAATTCAGAAGGCGGAGAAAATCATACTGTGCCAATCAGAACTCGAAGTAAAAACATACAAAGTACTAGAAGCGACCTAGTCGTGTTCTGTTTTAATCTCGTTTTCGGATTGGTTGAGAAAGTGGTTGGTTCCCAATCACCGAACGAAGTTGAGAAAAACAAATGAAATCCCGAATTTTCTTTAGACACTCAATTGAAATTTGCTCTCTTAAAGTGACTCACTTAAGCAAGTTTTATTCAGCGAGACTGAAAATGTTTATTTCAGAAGAGGATCCGCTTGTTTTTCCAATATTATTATTTTAAAGAATTAGAAAAGGGCTCGAATTTTTTTCGTGCGGATAGCTGATTAGGGTGAGGCCAGAATCAACTTAGCCTCCTGCGCAGACGTTCTTAGGCATCGTCACGCAATCATTCCTCCACAACGAACGTCTGCTTCAACCCGTAACCACTTCCGTTCAGGCGACCTGGCCAATCACAGTCCGTTTGCTATTTTTTGGAAGACGGGACTTTGACCTCAAAATTCATTTCGCGGGTAGATATGGCGGACATCAGTGTGGTCTTCAATTTTGTGTCTCAGAAATTTTGTATTCGGGAGTTAAATGCCCTTCAGAAAGAAGCAATAATCCAATTTGTAGATAAGCAGAGAGATGTTTTCATTAATCTACCCACTGGATTTGGAAAATCCTTAATTTATCAAGCGTTGCCGTTGGTTTTCGACGCCATGCATAGAGAAGGCCATATTATTGTTGTCATTTCACCTCCCGTAAGTCTTATGAAAGATCAGGTACAAAAGTTAAAAAGTCTTGGAATCTCTGCCATCACCCTCAGTGACGTCGAGGAAGGAGACGCGAATGCAGTTGAAAAAGGTATCTTCTCAGTCGTGTATGGAAGTGCAGAGGCAGATGTGCTTGGGTCCATTTGACCTGCGAGCCATGTCGTCGTTTCCTTTCGTAACCGTTTAGTTCTTACTCCGGATCGCCCGTTCTCGTAGTCTTTCTTCAATACCTTTTGTAAATTACAGAGGTTATTAGAAATTTTTTCGAAGCGAATTAAACGTTTGTAACAGTTTGCCGTGCAAATGAAAATTTCACTCGACGATAAAACAGTCACGTCCACATCGATGACAGCTTTGATTGGGCCTTGAATGTCCACAGAACTTGTGCCAGAAATACGAACTCTTTCTTTAGTCAGTGTGCATCCACAAAGGAAACAAATTAATTTGCTTCCAACGACTTTTTTGGTGGTTTCATTCACACATGCCATAACTTTATGTACTGGAATCGTTTCGTGGGAATGTCGGCCCGGGCGACAAGTTCTTTTCTTACAAAAGTTGTCATTGGCTAATAATGAGACAATATGTGAAAGCTGGTTGGTTGTCTCGAAACAAAGGAGAACGGAAGTGGCTACGGGTTGAAGCAGACGTTCGTGGGGGAGGAATGATTGCGTGACGATGCCTAAGAACGTCTGCGCAGGAGGCTAGAATCAAATATCATGCCAATGAAACAGGAGTGAATAATCTAACTGGTGTAGTATAAATCTACTGGTAGTTAAAAAATTTACAACACGGCGAAGTGATGCATGTCTGTTTTTTCATTTTGTTCACAATCGCGGATTTATATAAGTTTGCACTTTTGGGCTTGTTTACAAGGAGGTAGGGGATCCCTGGTAGGTGAAGTAACCCTATAAGTGAGGTAACCCGCCTTTCTATTTAATCCCTTTTTTTTATCTTGATCACGTTTACATGATAGGTGGGGTAACCTGTCTGGGCAGGTTGCCTGGTCTACCGGGTAAGGTAACCCTGTTAGCCGGGGTCACAATTTGCCATGTAAACGTCCTAAGGTGTGGTGATCCTCCTAGCCTAGGCTGTGTTCATGTTATATTTGCAAGCGCGCTGACAACCTCATCACGGGATCCCGGGGTTGTGAGATTGTATGTGAATGCGGGCCATTTTTTTCGGCAAAGGCTAGGCGGGTTACCTCACCTACCTGGGTTCCCCCACCCTCATGTAAAGAGGCCCTAACTCACAATTTATCTTGGAATCGATGTGAAGAAGGGTAGCCAGTCAGATTGCAAATAAATACATAAACAAATTTGACACTAGTCACTTACCTCTTGATTTCATAATTGTTAAGTTCGCTGGTGACTCTGAAGACGAGGAGGACTTCACTAAAACTGCTGAAAATCCGGCGTGAGAGACATGGTCAGTTTACAATCAAGGGCTCTCAGTGTTTAGATAAACTTAGTCCGTGACGTTTTTCCTTTGTTCTTGTTTTTTTTGTTGCGTTACGTTTCGGTACATATACACGAGGGACAGTTGGGTCACATGTTTTTTTGGACTGTAGCTTCTCACGCGTGTTCTTATCGACGAGCTCTTGCGGGCTGTAAACTCTTCTTTTAATCGTTTGGTTCGCACAAAATGTAAGTACGATTTCGATTGACGCTTGTTTTAGGTATTCATTTTGTTTATTCGTCTTCTTTTTTGTTTTCTTTCTCAGTTTTCACCGTCCCGGTAACCGATTTTTTGTGACATGCTCATACTATCAATTGTGATGGTCGAAAATTAAAGGAATATTACGGATAACGCGTCGAAGTTTTGTGCTATCCCCAACACTCAGTTTAAGTGATACTTAAGTTTGACTCAGATCTGTATTATTTCTTTTGGTGTAGAAGCAAAAGAAAACTGAGCGTGTAGATGTTTGGTAGAAGAATTGAAGCAATCTATAAAGAAATGCAAATATTGCAATTTAACACAAGCACATTACCTTTCCTAGTTTTTCTATTCGGCTTCGAGTTTTTTATAGTTATTTTCCAGTCTCCATCAGGATCCTCTCCCCAGTAATGTAAGCTGCTTACTGTCCACTTTGTAAAGTTCTTTCGGCCAGTAAGACTGTCAAACACCCTTGAATAAAGGAGTTTGGACTGCGTTCCCCTCGGTGATTCTGAAAACATCTCCAAGTAACCTCGTCGAGGGAAGGTAAGGTCGATTTGAACTTCTACATGCTCTAGGAAGCGGATACCACAATTTTTTTTGTTTACAGACAAGGAGAGAGGTAATAGCCCACTCCAGGGAATTGGCGGCCATGATGTTCTTAAGGAAAATAAAAATTGTATGTCTGATGGTATTACTTGACTGCAGGTCAATATTGAAAAATATTATTTATAGTAATTTGTGGTCCCATCTTGCTGAAATTTCCCCTGCAATTGAATATTAACAAACAAAATCCTTTCCTTTCAGCCCAAAAACAAATGTTAAAGAGGTCATATTCATAATGATAAATAGTTTAACTGTACTGGTAAAGGGTCTGTTCAATGCAATGATCAGTTATATACATTGACACATATAGACTGTAGAAATGTACAAGTACCTACCCCGGAATTTCGAGGTCAACCTCGCAATGCAGTTGTTGTGGAACAGAAGTCCAGTTCTTTGCATAACGAACCATATCGTTCGCATCCATCAATCCAAATCCGTAAAACTTGCTGACTGCAAACGTTTAGAATAACAACTTTCATCATAACACTAAAGATCGGAAATTGAATTGTACTTGTGATATAAACAGTAATTTAAGTAATACATTTTTGCAACCTGACCTTTGGTCTTATGTTTTTCTGTTAAATAAAGGTAGCGATACTGACTTATAGTGACAGGAACCGTACCTCGAAGATTGGCGTTGTTGACCCTCCAAGAAGGACTACGACGCTCAGAATACGACGCACTTCTCCTCCACGGCGGATTCAAAGGTTTAGAGCTTCTAACTATCAGGTGCTGAATGTCCCGCCAAGTCAGTTCTGGACTAAAAACATTGAGGAGCCTCGTTATTGTATATTCAACTAACAAAGTTCTTGAGCAGATGAAATTTGCTGGACATTTTGCCGGAGCCAACGCCCCAAAATGGTCATGACAGATGCACATAGGAGTAACATCATTTAGCTGGATAATTACCGTTTAATGTGATTAAATAGTTAGGCGTGGAATAAGGAAATACATCCACGTGTGTTTGGTGAAAAACGCAATTTTACCATTTTTCTGAATTTTTCGACAAAAAGCGTCTTTGCATTCTTCTTGCTGTGAAAAAGGCGTCAAAGCTAGGGCAACCCTCGGCCAGGTGACCGTGCTCTTTGGTGTATTCAAGTTTTCTGCAGCGTGTTTTAATTCTGTAACTTCTTCAGCTGTCTCGGTTATAAATCGACCGAGATCGAGATATAATCTGTCACCCAAGATATTACAGTAAAAAAGGTTTTTTAGACCAAGTAATTTCTCCTTGTGCCAGCTAATGCTTCAACTTACTTTGCCTCTAGTGCCAAAGCGATGATCCCAGAAGCCATTGCAGCAGAGGCGGAAGTTCCCGGGAAATCGTCGGTGCATACATTTGCATTTTTGGTTGTTATCTGTGGATTTAATTAAGTTAGTTTAAAAAAAAACTGACAAATAGTTTTACTTTCTGGTAAAGAGAAAGGCAGAGCCAACCCTGAGCCATAATCTAAATTCTCTTTGTTTCAGATTTTGTAATTAAGGAACATAGTGGCTATTTAATTTCTCACGTTTTCAATCAATTTGCTCTGGAATAATTTCTTGATAATAGTGAACGGAAACGTTAGAATATAATGGGCACAATATGGTGGCTCTGTCTGTAGCTTTCTCTCAACCTCTGTAGATTCTTTGCTTACCACTGGTACTTTGACACTATCGTAATTGTCTTGTCCGTAGGTCACAGCCATAATTGCTGCGCACGGTTCAGCGTAGCCTGGTACCTTTCCATCCCAGTTCACTCCAGAGATAGCGATTGTGTAAATGCTGTTTACGTAACCATTAAACGCGCAACTATCTCCCGTAACTCCGCCATTTCCTACCGCGTATACGAAGATCGAACCTTTCTTACGGCGTCCCTGCATAGCAAGAAGACTCTTTGAATTACATTAAATAAAGAGGTCGAACCTTTTCACTTTGGACTAAATAGCTATGACGTCACACTTACCCACTTACTTATCTAACAACTTATCTACCCACGTACATATCCAAATACAAACATCTACATCGATACGAAATCGTCGTAGTGTGTGGCTCAACATCCATCAAACTTACTAGTTGTGTTCCATTTTTAAGTGCGTTTGCTAACAAGGGACCAGGTCCTTTCACATACCAGCCAGCGTCTCTAGGCCCCCAACTGTTGGAGTATATGTCAATTACGTCACTCTTGAAGCTTAAAGCGTCGGCCTCTCTTTGGTCGGATGCCCTGCTGTACCTGTTGTACATTCGTATACCTAACCGAGAGAAAATTAATCTTTTCCATTTTGTCGTTCGGCCTTTTCAGTTAGTTGATATGGCCGATTAGACATCTGAATGAATCTTATCTATACAAAGTTTTTACTAACAGTAGATGTAATGTCCTTTTTTGTGACTTTTGCGTCCTTGTCGCTTAAAACTCCCTGAAGATAGCTGTGTGAGTCGGACGAAACTCTTCCTGGTTAACTACAGTTAACGCCATTGACACCAGTCGTTAAAAGACCAAACTAGATTTCTGGCATTTAAAAATTTAAGATAGTTCGTGATTAAACTTGATGTACTTGTAACTTACGTTACTGTTTTCAGGAATGGTAATGACAAATTTACGGAGTTTCATCGACTCTGTTCCATTTTTTTTTTTGCAAAGACTTAGCCATAGCTCCAAGTTATTTGTTTTTTTCGGATCATTTGAATGAGGATGTTTACAAGAAAAAGGAATGTGCAAGTTTAGGTTATCATTAAAGAAATTTACTACGTTGACTTTTCTGAAAAGGAAATTTTTATCGGTAGTTTTTTGAGAGAACTATTATCGAATAAAGAGGACGAAATCTTAACGTACACAGTCCTGACTTAAGAAATTAATAACAATAGAGTAAATCGGCAAGATGAAAAGGTTTTCTGTTTTCGCTCTGTTGATCCATGAAAAATAAACACGTTTTATTTATATGTCCACCTTTTTATGTTTATCCAACATTTGGATGTAGTTAGGTCATAACCTTAAGAAAACATAAATAATTATATTTTATGTTTCATTTCCGCACAAATAAGAAAGATAGATCACCATCTGCATAATCAGGGTCGCTCTCTAGGAAAGGACAGTAGTTACCCTATATTAAACTGTGGGTCAAATCTCCCACATGCGGAAGTAAAATGAATGTTATTAATGTAAGGAAAAATATGAGGTCTCAATAAAGCCATATTCACTACAGATAAATGCTCAGAATTTTAGTTGGATATATTTCTGAAACTTGTCAAAAAACTGACAATCTGACATTCCTTACTTGAAATTTGTGCGTCGTAAGCAATACCCACACCACAATTAGTATTGTTTCCTCCAGCAATGATTCCAGCGCAGGATGTTCCGTGACTGAAACAGTGTACAAATAACACGTGTAAGAAATTGGAAAGACACAGTTGCTTGCATTTGAACTGCTTCTACGTGTCTCGTTTAGGGACAAATGAATTTAAAAAACTAATTAATGAAAGTTTATTTAATTCAAGAACCACGCTTGGTTAGCTCACATTTCAGAGTGCCAGACAGTGCTGTGCTGGAGGTCGAGCAGTTCAAACCCCAGACCGGACCAACATTCAAGGTCTATAAAATATCTGAGGAGAATGTACTGCCTTTGCTCCCCCGCATCTTACCTGTATTGGTTAGCAGGGGACGCTGAAGAATCTATGAACTTTTGGAAAAGAGTAGGGAACATAGCTTGAGTTTTATGGCCTTGTTATTTTCTATACAGGCCCCCAAAACTAGCTGGGCTAAAGTGTCTAAATATCCCAAATACACGCATATATGAATTTGATTTATCATTTTAAGTATTGTATATGAAACTTAGCCTGTTACACAAATGAAGATAAAGTGTATTGGAAGATCACCCAATAGACATCGTGTAAAGCGGGTAACCATAAAGAGGATGAACGCCAATTTCCAGATTTTAAACCGCAACATTCTTCGCTCGGATAAGCAAAGGCCAAAAGGGTTTTTACATTTCCTTTTCCAAAACGTTGTGTGCAAGCCAGTGGTACCATACCTGCTAGCCCTGTGGGATCTGCTTATTTTTTGGCCCCTCAAAAAGTCATAGCTCGAATCAACGTTCTGTTAAAAAAGGCAAATAATACTGAAAAAAACTCAACCAAAACCAATAGAGATTTAATATCAAATGTCCGGAAAACTTAAAAAAGAGTGGTAACACTAACCACAGAAGCGAAACAAAATTGTTCAAAAATAGAAAATTAAGGATATTCAGCCATATCTTTTTTCCATAGGAGGTCTCTTACAAGATCGTTTTTATTTTGTACAAAGAGGCCCCATTCAATCTAAGTACTGTGATCGAAATCACGAGGGAAGATCCTCGGTTAAGAGAATACATGGGCATTAGTGATAGGTTGTGCCCCCATTAAGACGAAAAAGAGAATCTATTTTGAATGGTAGAAACGGCTGAAAAGATTCCTTCTTACTTCAGAGATAAGAGTCTGGTTATAGAAAGGAGATGATCAAAAGAATATGATAAGCGTCAATTTTTGTTGTGCAATCACCACGATCACCATTACGCTCGTGCAAACTTTCGAACCTCAAGACTACACAATTGACTGAATTTTCTATTTGATTACCTTAATGACACCTAGTTACTAAGAAATCGTTAAGAAGATTGTTGAAAGAAAAATCCAAAAATGAGAGGTAAGAGGAAAATCTTGCAAGTGAGAACAAGGAATACAACATCAACCACAATATATGATAGGCGTTATTTAAGGAATCGAGCCTGAGATCAAATGACAGTAACAAGCCGTGAATAGTTACAGAAACGAACTCCACTTAGTTTAGTGATTGACCTCAAATAAACAGTGATCAACTTCAGTGAAGATGAACAAAATTCAAGGCAATTTTCTGCGAAGAACGGCTGATGTGATGTAATGTTATAATCAGTTCAAAGACTTACAAAGTTCAATCTCAGGTCCGGATGATTCATGTTGACTCCATCATCCACAACAGCTACAAGTACACCTTTTCCGGTATACCCGGCTTGCCATGCAGACTTCACATTCATCGAAACTGGTGTGTTTTTCTGTAGGCAAAAGAAGTATTGCTGTTTAATCAGATGTTTCAACCTGTTTGTCAAAGATACTTCTATAAATTGATAAGAACAAATTGCGCATCAGCTGTTTGAAAGACGCTGACTGCTTTTTACTTTCAAAGAGGAGATGGATACTCAGATTCTTTGCTCGAGATAGTGAGTAATTTCCTGTTAATGCTGAATAAAAATCCTTCACTTGAACACAAATGTACGTGTTCTCGGGCAACGTACGATTTCATTATTTGAAGAAATAGATCCATCATTTGACTGTATATTCTTTCGCTGTTTCGGATTTCTAATGCCAGGACTTTAGTAGATAAGAGCTCATATTCCAAAGACTAGACAACATTTTCAGGCTCCGAAGAGGAAATTCCATTCCAATTTGTCTCGAAACTTTCGTAATTTCTTGAGTGCATCGCCCCCTGATCACAAGAAAATTTAAATTGATTATTTCTCGTTGAAATTATCTTCTAGTCTTTAATCATATACAACCGGGGGAAACAATACTAGTAAACGCTTTACATGTTGCGCAAAAAGATCATTTATTGTCAACGTGGCGAAAATGTAACAAGAAGGTGAGCAAAGTTTCTAGAAAACGGAAGTGTTTCATTATTCATGTACTTACTAAATACCACTGCCAGTCGCGGTGAGATCCTTCTCCTCGCCTGACCTGTTGAGTAAGATTCGTATTTCATTGACAAGACTATCAAGAACGTCGACATCATTTTTCTGCAATCGAACGTGCGCTAAACCAAATGGCCATCCCTTCTTGAATATCAAGAGGGTACTTTGCAACAATTGGCAGTAATGTCGCAATCTGACTGGCCAGTTTGCCGATGTCGATAAGATTATAAACAACACTGCTCACGTCGACGTGTCATGCCACGTGTCACGCACTGAACGTCGATATTGTAGTAAAAAAATAAATCGACAGTGGTTTAGTGTGACGGTAGTCTTCAACAAAGTGGTCATAATTTGTTTGTGGACTTACTCGGCCACAACATTTTGATCACTGTGATAACGAATATCGTTGTCGATAAGAGTACAAGACTAGTACAGTAAAGACCGCACTAAATCACTGTAGATTTGATGAACTTACTGACACAAGCTTATTATTTTAAAGAGCTTAAGGATACACTGAAGGAGCTACTACTTTGTTTCCAGAGTGGTAACAAGTATGAACAAACGTTTACATTCTCTCGGTATTCTTAAAATACAACCCATGCGACATGCAGAGTAAATTCTAATGCGGTTAATACACTCAGTTGACTTCAATTAAACCAAATTTGGAACATTTAAAATACAACGTCTAGAACGTGCCCTAGAAAGAGAGCTTGCACTTGTCAGAAAAAAGATCATACTACCAGTTAATGCATCGAACAATTGGAAGCCTTAGCATTCCCCCACCACACCTAAGGGCAACCCTTCGGGTTTTCGAGCTTTTGAAGATTGGTTTCTTCCAATTCCCGTCTCCCCGGGGCTAAAACTGTGTTTAAATTACCTACCCAAGTGCCGAATTTGATGATGGTAGTTTTTCTGTAAAAGGAAAATCAACGATTTTGACTTTGTACTCAACGTCAGAGCTTTAAAACCCGGCCCTTGTAGACCCTAGCTTTTCTTCTGAGCTCGTGAAAGTGAACTCTTTCCCTTTAAACACCTCCATATTAACAAGAAAAAAACACTTGTATTCCGTTGGAAAGACTTGACACCTACGGTTCAAATTCCCCACCCCAGCCAGGGAAGGTTCAAATTAGCCACCCGAGCCAAGGAAGGTTTAAATTCCCCAGCCCCGCGCATAAGGAGACAGCCAAATGCTTGTGGTTTGCTGGGTTGGGGAGTAGGGGATGGTGAAGATTCGAATCGATCGGCGTATAACTGTGCGGCAAATTCTGGGAAATCTTGGAATACGTTGTTACGTGTTTTTAAACATTTTCATAACAAAGAGAGAGAGAGAGAGAGAGAGAGAGAGAGAGAGAGAGAGAGAGAGAGAGACAGAGAGAGAGACAGAGAGAGAGAGAGAGAGATCAAAAAGGGTTTGGTGATCGGTTGACAAACTGAATGGAAACCAAACAAAAGTGCGAAGGACAATTTTTGAAGCTCAATCTGTTTGACATAATTTCTCGAATAGAAAAAAAACCCAGGGTAAGAAAATCTTGTCTTTCGAGTGACCGAGATTTTCTTCGTATTGGAACTCTAAATACTCTGAAGAAGGTAAATCACTTTGAGTCGGTGATAATACCAAGAAGTCAGGAGCTTAAGTTAATAAGGGTAAATAAACGATAATCCAAGAAGAATCATGGCCCGAAATATATAGCGCGTTCTACCTGAATGTACTTTAGTTGAAAAATAAAATTGCTTACCAAGTTAGCTCCATAAATACTGTGGCCTATTCGACCTCTCACTAAAAGCCTCAGCACTGACAATAGTAACAAAAACGTACTACCAATGTTCATTCTGGCTGACCACAAATAGGCAGTAAACGACAAAATCTAAGGCACGCAATTCCCTCTTCACTCTTTTAAGTTATACTGGATTTGAAACGAAATGTATAGTTTTAAGAACTGTTTCCAGGTTGAATTCCTCATTCTTTCAATTTCATGAGATGTAAAATTTCCCTTACAGCTTAAGGAAGTTCATCGTTCACGAAAAACAAATTTGGGTGCTACGTGCTCTAGATTGTACTTCCGTGATCGTGCTCAGCGTCGGCGTAAAGGTCAAATTCTCAACTTAATGGGCAGAACAATGCCGTTTTAGATCTAATACCTCATCAAAATTCTCAGGTATGTCTAAACAAGCAACTCCGAATGTTGAAAGCCTAGAGTACTATTAGTTGCCTGTGGAATTTGAACCCAGATATCTTTGAGGGATATTACTCTTAACACTGAAAGATGTGAGAGGCGCATTAACAACATAAATTCTGCTGCCCAGCATTTCTATGGTTTTTTTACTTGATATTGCTACAAATAAAATCAGTTTCTTCAAGAGGGTCACGAATTCCACAGATCTGTTCTTTTATTTCTTGTGTTAACTTATGCCGCTAAGATTTTCGGTCCTTCGCCGGTAAACTTACGTGCGATTGATCATTTCGATTCATCGTCAAGCGATTGACCCTTACGACTATAAACCCTGAAGTAGATACAATTTCGTCCATTATCTCTCGTAAGAAAGGAAATTACTATCACGAGGATATTAAATGACTTTCACGACATAATTAAAAGCTACAGGGAATATAATCTCTTTCGGCGGTACTTATGAGCTGATAACAGTGTCGATTTTCAAACTACAGAGCTTTAGCAAAGGCAAAAGAGAGTTTTACCCTTCGTTATAACATATGATTATAGTACGCATCGTCTGGTCGGTCAATTCAGTTTCCAAGCGGATTCATTATCAGGTTATAGAGCCTGCATGTAACTTGTTATGTCATAAAAGCAACAGAACGCATTTTTTCCGAGCGCTGTAACGTGATGAAACCACTTGGGATGCATATTGGGAGAACACGAGGAAAGCTTCTAAATCACTCGCCTTCGGCTCGTGATTTACTAGCTTCCTCGTGCTCTCCCAATATGCATCCCAAGCGGTTTTATCACGTTATAGAGCCCGATAAGGTGTGTTCTATTGCTTAAATAGGTGATACCCATCAGTTTTAGGAACGAGTGCCGGGAGTCGATCAAAAGCTTTCAAATTTCACTCAAGAGCAAACTACACGAGAAGATTTCTGTCAAACCCTTCCCGATTGATTGAAAACTTTAAAGCTTAAACTAAATAGCTTTGTTAGTCCGCGTTTAGGGGAAGACTAGCTGCAGTGCGCACCACGCGCGCAAAAATATAAAGGGACGGACCATTATTTTTCTGGAGGGCGGTATGAGAAATATTGAAAAAAATTGTTTGCAGGGTCTGAAAAGACAAAATAAATAAAATGTTTGCAAACGTGCTAGGGTAAAAAAATGTGTTGGGAGAGAAGTCTTGTAAGATATTAAATAATATTATCAACATTGAAGTAAAAATATAAAGTCAAAAATTAAAACGGTAGTATAAAAATCAACACAATTTGGGCACTAAAAACTGTCGCTCTGCATTAAACAAATAACAAATCTGAAAATAGCTGAATGTTTCTTGAAAAATATGGGAATTTAATCTCAACGCTCTTCGAAAAATGGTCCCATAAGGCAATGGTGATACTTAGCTCAAGTACAAAGAACACTGAAAAAAGTGGGGAAAAAAGATTGTTTGCACGATGATGATGCAAAAAAATTGTTGGCGGAGACGTAGATGTTTAAAAAAATTGTGTTCAGAAGAAAATTTCTCATACTCCCCTCTCGAAAAATAGTGGTCTGTCCCTAAAGTAAAAGGAAAGCCACGTTCTTTCAGACTTTGCACTGATTTAGATTACTTCACTTTGGTCATACTGTCTAAACCTGCTCTGATTTTACAGGTAAAGTTCGCAGACTTAAGGTCCCAGGGGAGGCCTAATGGACACTGTGAAAGTGTTCTAGGAATATAAGCCGGAGCAAATGAGAATGTGTGCTGAGTCGAACAAAAGCTTTCTCCTCTTAATAAAGTTCGTACAATATAACATGTTTTTCACTCTTTGGGCAACAAAACCATCACAGAACCCGTGGCACGTTTTACGGCTAGGGATTTATTCATTTATTTACTTACTTTTTATTTACTCAACTTTAATTATGCAGATCTCGATAAATAAATCGTAGATAAATTAGCAACTTAAAAAAAATCACTAGATCTGAATAAATAGGTCAGCTTTTAGAGAATACGAGGATTCCTTATACAAACTGTCTCAATTAAAAAACATATATATATATATCTATATATACATAAAAAATTGTTCAAGTTTGCTCAAGTAGTATGAAATATCACGACAATATAGTATTAATCAATTATAAAACTCTATCCTCATTTACGTTAATTTATTAATACTGTTCTTAATTGATGAGAAATTGTTCTGATATCTAGCGGTGAGCAATTCCGCGGGTCTACAATACGACTGAAGAAAGAAAACTCCAAAACATCAGTTTTAAAAAGGCCTTTCACCAGTGCAGCTTCCATGTTTCTAACGTTATATTTGGGTGTCTTAAAAATTTACATATGACAATACATTGAAATCAATATAACCTTTCAGGCACTTAAAGAAAAACAGAGATCCAATATCCCTCTTCTATATTCTAAAGGTAAAAGTTTCAGTTTGACGAGTCTCTCAGGATAACTCAAGTCAGTTTTCAGGATAAATTTAGTTGAAAGTCTTTGTACACGCTCAAGTGCAGTGATCTTTACTTTAGTGTAAAGGTGACCAGACCTGTGAAGCTTACTCCCTATTTTCAAATATATATTTTAAGACACATAGGCCTCTAAACAAAACCCAAGCTTAACTACTAAAGGAAAGTCAGCATTCATGACTAATTTGTCACTAACACTGAACAAAACTTCTTTAGTATACTTTATCGAGTTTTCGTATCCTTCCTTACCTTAACGCAATTTGAGAAAATAATAATATATACGACTATAGATTAAAGTATCGATAAAACGTTCATTATTTCTCAAATTGCCGGTGCTAGTTTTATGGCGTAAATCATGATTGATCACCATAGCCCCAGGGGAGCTGCTCATGCAGTAGGTGGGTGGGTACCAACTTGAGAAATATCTTTAAAG